ATTGATTTTATTTTATATTCTTTTTTAGTTTTTATATTTCAAATAAATAAAATGAATAAAAATCATTTCATTTCAATTACAATAATTCGTTCTGGTGTGAAATGTTTATTTCCACAAAGTGCATTTGATATTCCTTTATATGAAAATGAATCTTGTTTACAAGATGATTCTGTTTTATTATTTTCTTTATAAACACAAATTTCAAATGACAATAAAAAGACACCACATATGTCAAGACGATATCCAAATCCAAACAAATAATCATTTGATTGATCACCTACATATGCATATTGTGGTTGTTTAATATCAAATTTCATCATTCCTTTTATTCTTCCATTTGATTTTAATGAAAATAAAAATGAATTTTGATCATTTATCCAACCAACTTTATTAATTTTTTCATTAACATATCCTCCAAATTTATTTCCATTTGTGTCTTCAACAATAATTATTATATGTTCTTCATTTATTATTCTTTGATCAAATACTGATGTATTAACATTCCAATCATCAATTTCTGAATCAAACAATATATTTCCTACTTTTCTATTTGTCCATTCTTCTATTTGTTTAACTTCTTTATTTGATGGTCTGAGCTTCTTTTCAATTCTTTTACTTTCCCATTCTATTCTAATATCTTCTAATTCTCCTTTATATTTATTTGTCCATCTTTTATTTTCTTTAATTAGTTTATTAACTCTTATTTCTTCAGTTTTCATCACTTTTGTAATGATAGTATCAACTTGTTCTGATAATATCTCTTTATCATCATATCTAATTTCATTAATTCTTTGATAGATATCCTTTAATTTATTTATCATCATCATTCCTTCTTTTATTTTATTTCTAACTATTTCATTTCTTCTAACTATTTCTTCTTTTCTATCATAAATTCCTTCGATTCTTTTAATTCTATCTTCTGGACTTTCATCTTCATCTTCACTATCAGTTATCTCTTCTCCAATTCTATTTTCCCAATATTCATTATATTCTTGTCCACTTTTCATGACTTCATCAATCTGATTCTTAACATCATTACTTATTTCTTGCAACTCATTAAAAACTTCATTTCTTTCTTCTTTGTTTATGTTCATTCTTCTTTTATTCTTCTTTATTATTAAGTTTGTTTCTTTTTCTTTTTGTTTTCTTATAAAAGTCTTTCATTCATTTTTAAGTCTA